TTGTGAAATAATGAATTTTTGTTTCAAAAGTTTGGATCTTTGGGTTTATCATATACCAGATATGGGTATACAAAATAAGTACAGATATCATATATGATATAGGGTCACTTACTATAAGGTAATTTATACCTAATCTATTCTACTGATCCACCACTTTATCTCTTAGACAGCACCAGATAATTTTTGATAATTATGACTTTATAATGCAGTTTGAGATGTGGTATGACTAGACCACCTTCCTTCATTCTTTTCCCCCCATTGATTACCTTGATATCCTTGACCTTTTGGAGAACCTCTGTTTTCCTGGCATTACTGTTAGGTCAAAATTAGCACAAGCATCAGAGAATCGATCCATATGCTGTTATTCAGTTACATACAAATAAGAGCAATTGGGGGTGGAGCGAAGATGGCGGTATGAAAGCAGTGACTTGCTTGAGCTCTCCTCCAAACCCCTCCAAATACCCATAAAAAATGGCTCTAAACAAATTCTGAAGCAGCAGAACCCACAAAAAGACAGAGTAAAACAAATTTCCAGCCCAAAACAGCCTGGATGGTTGATCTGAAAGGTATATCACGCCAGGTGAGGAGAGGAGCTCGGTTCGGCATGGGCACTCAGGCCACAGCAAACGGGAAGCAGGCCTTAGAGGAATGAATCACAGGCAGCTGTGGCGATTTCCAGACTCCTCAATCCATGAATACCAAAGACAACTTAAAAGGTCAGTGGGAAAAGTTGTTTTTGCGGTGCTGAGAGAGGAGCTAGGTGAGAGCCAGCTCCAGAGAGTAGAGCCCAGGCACTGGGGCAATGGCTGAGTCCTGAACTTCTGGCCCAAAGACTGTGGGGAAATGAAGTGGCTGATCAGAGGGGGACTGCAGGGATCTCTTTGCCAGTGTTGAGGCAGGAACTTCTTGCTTTGCCCATGCTTGGATCTGGGTCACAGTTCTGGGTGGCGGTCCTGGGGTGAGGAGTGTTGGCACGGTAGAGCTTGAAGTGGCGGTGGAGAGGAATCCCTCCTCACAATTCCAAGAGAGAAAAGACTGCTTGTGGCTGGTCACTCAAAGACCAGAGCACAGGCCAGGAAAAGAGTAAATACCTCAACTCTTATTGTACCATGTTGGAAGAACTGAAAATTTACAGGTCCCTAGAAGTATCTCTGGGAAACAGCTGTACAAACCCCCAAAGCTTGGGACAGTACATTCTCCACATTGGAAGCAGATTCATACCTTAACAAAGAGTTTAAAACTCAAGTACTTGGCTGGGATCATGAGCAAATCTCACAAAAAGAGTCAGACTATATTATCTTACTTTGGTGAAAAGAAGATGAAAACATACAACCAGAAAAAGACAACAAAGTCAGAGCTCCTGCATCCAAAGCCTCCAAGAAAAGAATCTGTTGTAGGCCTTGGAAGAGCTCAAAAGGGATTTTGAGAAGCAAGTAAGAGAAGTAGAGGAAAAACTGGGAAGAGAAATGAAAGCGATGCAAGAAAATAATGAAAAACAAGTCAACAGCTTGCTAAAGGAGACCCAAAAAAATACTGAAGAAAATAACACCTTAAAAAATAGCCTAACACAAATGGCAAAAGAGGTCCAAAAAGTCAATGAGGAGAAGAATGCCCTAAAAAGAAAAATTGGCCAAATGGAAAAGGAAGTCCAAAAGCTTACTGAAGAAAATACTTCCTTAAAAATTAGAATAGAGCTATTGGAAGACAGTGACTTTATGAGAAATCAAGACCCAGTAGAACAAATCCAAAAGAATGAAAAGTTAGAAAAAATGTGAAATATCTCATTGGAAAAACAACTGACCTGGAAAATAGATCCAGGAGAGAGAATATAAAAATTATTGGACTATCTGAAAGCCATGACCAAAAAAAGAGCCTAGACATCATCTTTCAAGAAATTATCAAGGAAAACTGCCCTGGATTTTAGAACCAGAGGGCAAAATAGAAATTGAAAGAATCCACCAATCACCTCCTGAAAGAGATCCCCAAAGGAAAACTCCTAGGAATATTGTACCCAAATTCCAGAGTTCACAGGTCAAAGTGAAAATATTACAAGTGGACAGAAAGAAACAATTCAAGTATGGTGGCAACACAATCAGGATAACACAAGATTTAGCAGCTTTACATGAAGGGACTGGAGAGCATGGAATATAATATTCCAGAGGGCAAAGGAGATAGGATTACAACCAAGAATCACCTACCCAGCAAAACTGACTATAATCCTTCAGGGGAAAAAATGGTTATTCAGTGAAATAAAGGACTTTCAAGCATTCTTGATGAAAAGACCAGAGCTTAATAGAAAATCTGACTTTCAAATACAAGACTCAAGTGGAACATGAAGAGGTAAACAGGAAAGAGAAATCATAAGAGACTTATTAAGGCTGAACTGTTTACATTCCTGCATGGAAAGATCATATTTATAACTCATGAGACCTTTGTCAGTATTAGGGTAGTGGGAGGGGAAAAATTATGTGTATGGATGTATGGATAGATAGACAGATAGACAGATAGGTAGATAGACAGATAGATAGAGGGCACAGGGTGAGTTGAAGATGAAGGGGTGATATCTGGAGAATAAAATTAAGGGGTGAGAGAGGATTATACTAGGAGAAGGAGAAAGGGAGAGGTAGAATGGGGTACCATTATCTCACACAAAACAGACAAGAAAAGTTCTTACAGTGGAGGGGAAACAGGGTAAGGTAAGAGAAAATGAAGGAATCTTATTCTCATAGGATTTGGCTTAAGGAGGGAATAACATACACAGTCAATTGGGTATGAAAATCTGTCTTACCATACAGGAAAACAGGGGAGAGGAAGGGGACAAGAGAGCAGGGGGATGATAGAGAGGAGGGCAGATTGGGAAAGGGGGTAATCAGAAGTAAATACTTCTGAGGAGGGACAGGGTCAAAAGAAAGAATAGAATAATGGGGGGCAGGATAGGATGAAGGGAAATAGAGTTAGTTTTTCACAACATGTCTACTATAGAAGTGTTTTGCATAACTGCACATGTAGGGCCTCTATTGAGTTGCTTGCCTTTTCAATGAGGGTGGGAGGAAGGGAGAGAGCTTGGAACCCGTCGTTTTAGAAACATGTTTTAAAAAAATGTTTCCACATGCAGCTGGGAAATAAGAAATACAGGAAATGAGGTACAGAAATCGATCCTGCCCTGCAGGAAAGTGGAAGGGGAAGGGGATAAGAGAAGGGGGGGGGAAGAGACAGAAGGGAGGGCAGACTGGGGGAAGGGGTATTCAGAATGCTTGCCATCTTGGGGGGGAGGGGCAAGATGGGGTGAAAATTTGGAATTCAAAATCTTGTGGAAGTAAATATTGTAAACTAAAAATAAATAAATTTATATAGAAAAAAAATAAAGAATAGTGACCAAGAAAAACAAAATGATGCACAGGATGCTCTCAGAAAAACCTAGAAAGACTTGCATGGGCTGATACAAAGTGAAATGTACTATGTACAAAGTAACAGCAATATTGTAAGATGATCACCTGTGACTGAATTAGCTATTTTCAGCAATACAAAATTCCAAGACAACTCTAAAGGACTTATGATAAAAAATGTTCTTCATACCCACACAAAGAACTTATGGTATTTGAATACATATTGAAACATACCTTTTTTTAAACTTTCTTTATTTTTCTTGAAGTTTTTTGTTTTATTTCACATGTCTACTACACATATGTTCTGCATGACTAGATATGTATAATCTATATCAAATTGCTGCCTTCTCAATTGGGGGGGTTGGGGACAGAGGAAGGGAGATAATTTGAAATTCAAAGTTTTAAAAACAAATCTTGAAAATTGTTTTTACATGTAACTGTGAAAAATAAAATAATAAACAATTTAAAAAGAAAAAACAAACAAAAAAAGAAATGAGTAATTTCGAGGGGTTCCTTCATACTTTAAAAAAGCAACATCTAATTAATGTAGGTTGTATTTCAACTAATTCATGAAAAAGATATTAACAGTTTCCTCAAGTAAAAGATCTAAACATACCTCCAGAATTCTGCAAACTTGGGAGGACAAAAGTCAAGAGAATGGACCACATACAAGAGAAGTTGGCCAAATAGGAAAATGCCTTTATACTTGGGAGCAGTCATCTATAATTACAATCTGCTTCATGCACAATGTATGTTTGGCGAACATTCTAGGATATGATTCACTTTATCAGAGATTATTATATTTGGGAACAATTCTACATCATATGTACAAAATTGCCCTTTACCTTTTTGACACTGTGATTTCTTCTTTAAAACACCTGACTCATGGTTTAATTTTTTAACTGATACATCACCTTTCAATTCCCTTATTCTATTATTTTACTTGGGAACAATTAAGGTATTTCTTCATGTTTTACAATTTAAGATTTCCAAGAATTTATAATTCTTGTTTTTTTAAACTATAGTCTCTTGAATCATAATTCTTAATTACATAGTATTCACCATGTGGGCTATCAATACAAGTAAGCAGGACTCTTATTGACTGATAACTGATCTCTGAATCCCTAACTCACACCTAACAAAAGCTATTCCAAATCTTTTTCTTTTGCAAAATTGCCACCTCCATCTCTCAGAACCGGTGGATGGAGTTATGAACTCCAAACTTCCATTTGAAGAGACAGATATCTCATCTCTCACTTGGCTCAACATCTTTGGGAATTCTCTGACTGACTGCTCCATTGTGGCCAAGAACTGGGGAATCTTCTCACTCCAACCCATTTTCATCATTTTTTTATGTTGGTCTTCCTCTGTTAGACTGTCCGGTCCTTGAGGCTAAGTGAGTTCTAGAAGCCATCAGAAGAAAACTTTCAAATATAATGGAAAGGACATGGAAACATGCAAGATTACTCCAAACTCACTAGAAATAAAGAGGGAACTGGAAGAATGCATTCCAGAGAGCAGTGAAGCACAGTATACAGCCCAGGAACACATATCCTGTAAATATGAACTTAGCAATGTGGGACAAAAAGTGGATGTTCAATGATAAAAAAGAAATTTATCAAATATTTTTAGAAACAAAATCAGAACTGAAGACATTATTTGCCTCTTTGTACCCCATAGAACTTTTGCAAAAATTAATCATGGATTAGGGCAGAAAGATACTGCAAACAAATGTAAAAAGGCAGAAATCATCAACATATCCTTTCATTCCATTAAAATAAAACAATGGAAATTAGTTCAGAGACAACAAAAGATTCAAACTCAAATGGAGACTTAACAATGATATTTACACTTTTAATACCACAGTGTTGAAATTATGGGGGTAGACGGAGTGGATAGAATGTTGAGTCTGGAGTCAGGAAAGTCTGACTTCCAATTTGGGCTCAGATCCTTGCTAGCTGTGTGTGACACTGGGCAGGTCAGTTAACTCTGATTGCCCCCAGGTTCCTCAACTGAAAAATGATCTGGAGAAAGAAAAAGAAAACCACTTTAATATCATTGCCAAGAAAACCCCAAATGGAGCCACAGTGTTAGACATGACTGAACAACAACATCAATAACAGTAACAAAATTAAGAAGGAGATATCTTACAGGGCTGAAGAAAATAATAAAATTCATTTGGAAAAAATTAAATACCTACAGTAATATCAAGAGCAATGATGAAAAGAAGTGAGGATATACAGGGAAGGGAACTTTTAGACCTTAAACTATGGCATACAGCATTGGTCACCAAACATGTGGTATTGATGAAATAAAAAAAAAAGAGATAAAAGAATGGAACAGATTAAGCAAGGGAAATTCAGAACCATAAGAAATCAGTAAAACTCAATGTTTGATAAAGTGGGGAAAAGATTACTTAGGGTCAAACTCCTTATTTAGTCAAAAAATACAATGGAGAAAAATGGAAAGCAGTCAGGAAGGAAATTAAGATTAAATCAACATCTTAACAATACCCTACAACACATTTTATATGGTGCATTCTTGGCAAAGAAATTATTGAGAAAAATGGACCTGACATCTTAGGGCCAGAGGGTAAAACAGAAATGGAAAGAATCCACCAATCACCTCCTAAAAAAGATGTCAAAATGAAAACTCCCAGGACTATCACAGCCAAATTCCAGAGCTACCAGGTCAAGGAGAAAAGAGTACAAGCAACCACAAAGAAGCAACTCAAATGCCATGGAGCCACAGTCAGGCTAACACAAAAGCTAGTAGGTTTTATATTTAAAAAATCAGAGGGTGTGCAATATGATATTCAGCAAGACAAAGCAACTAGCACCATGACCAACCATCTCATATACAGAAAAAATGTGTAATCCTTCATGGGGGAAAAGAATGAACATTCAATACAGGGTAATCAAACATTCCTAAGGAAAACAACCAGAGCTGAACAAAAAAATTCATCTTCCAATACAAGACCCAAGAGAAACATCAAAAGGTAAAGAGGAAAGAGAAAACAGAGGAGATTCAATAAAGTTAAATTATTTCTATTCCTACATTGGAAGATGATACCTGTAACTCTTAAGTCTTTTATGATGATTAGGGCAATTAGAAGGAGTATACGCTGAGAATATACATTGACTATGATGGGATGATATTCAAGAAAACACACTTAAGGAGTGAGAAAGAGAACTGCATGTCAAGAAGAAGGAAGGGAAAAGTGGAAGGGGGTGAATTATCTCACATAAAAGAGGCAAAGCAGAGCTATTACACTGAAGGGGAAGATGAGGGTGGCGGGAATGGAGGGCTTGAGCCTTACTCCTATCAAAATTGGCTCAAGAAGGGAACAACATACATACTCAGTTGGGTATAGAAATCTATCTCATCCTATAGGGAAGTAAAAAGGGGTAGGGATAAGGAGGGGGGACTGACAGAAAGAACGGCAGATTGGGGGAGGCATTGGTCAGAAACAAAACTCTGGTGAAGAGAGACAGGATAAAAGGCGGGAGAAGAGACAGGAAGAAAGACAGAGAGGAACAGGGAGAGGAAGGAGGAGAGAGGAAGAGATAAGGGAAAACAGGATGGAGGGAAATACAGTTAGTTGTCATAACTATAAATACGAATGGAATGAACTTACCCATAAACTGCATTACTAGATGTAAAATGGATAATTTTGATTGTATTAAATTAAAAAGGGGTTTTTGCAGAAACAAAATAAATGCAAACAAGATTAGAAGAAAAACTGTCAATTGGGAAAAAATTTACAGCAATTACCTGTGATAAAGGCCTCATTTCTCAAATATACACAGCACTGAGTTAAATTTGTAAGAACACAAGTCATGACCCAATTAACAAATGGTGAAAGGATGTGGACGGGCAGTTCAGACAAAGAAACCAAAGCTATTTATAATCATAGAAAAATTCTCAAATGCAAACTAAAACAACTCTAGGCTACCACCTCACACCTATTTAATTCGCTAATAAGACAGAAAAGAAAAAAAACAAATACTGGAGGGAAGTAGGAAAAGTGGGACAATAATGTACTACTTTTGGATTTGTGAACTGATCCAACCACTTTGCAGAGCAATTTGAAACTATACTCAAAGGGCTATAAAAATGTGCATACCCTTTGACCCAGCAATAGCATTACTAAGTCAGCATCCACAAAAGACTTTTGAAAAATTATTCTATACCTTATGACTAATGTGAAAATATGGTTAATATGAACATATAAGTACAGCCTATGTCAGATTACATGCCATCTTGGGGAGGGGGGAGGAGAAGGAGAGGAAGAAAATTTAAAACTCAAAATCTTATGGAAGCCAATGTGGAAAACTGAAAATAAATATATCATTTTTCAAAAAGATTTTTTAAAAAAGAGAAAAGGACCTATGTAATAGTTCTTTTTATCCTGGCAAAGAATTGGAAATTGAGGAGAAGCCCATTAATTATAGAATGTCTTTACAAGTTGTAGTATGTGATTGCAACACAATACTACAGTTTCATAAGCAATGACAAGCAGGATGATTTCAGAAACACCTAGAAAAACTTATATGGATTCATGCAGAGTGAAGTGAGCAGAATCAGGAGAGTACTGTGCAAAGTAACAGCAATACTATATGATGAACAGTGAATAATTTACCTATCCTCATAATCTAAGACAATCCCAAAGGACTCATGATAAAAAATGCAACCCCCCTCCATAGAATCAACTAATGGAATCAGAACACAAACCTGAAGCATACTGTTTTTCACTTTCTTTCTTTATGGCTCAAATTTTCTTTAAAAAATGACCAATATGGAAATGCTTTATGTGTTTGCTTATGTATAACCTGTTTGTGATTGTTTACCATATGCAGGAGAGGTAAGAGGAAGGAGGCAGGTGGAGAATTGTGACCTCAAATTTTAGGAATAAAAAATGTTTTTACATGTAATTGGGGAAAAATGGAGAAAAATGAAATATTATTTGAAAAAAGACTAATAGTCAATGGCAGTTAGGTGGCACAATAGATAGAGCTCGAGGCCTGGAGTCGAACTTGTAATTTAGCCTCAAACACTTACTAGCAATGAGACCCTGGGCCAGTCACTTGAGCATCTTTGCCTCAGTTTCTCCTATGTAAAATGAGCTGAAGAAAGAAATGGGAAACCATTCTAGTTTTCTAATATGAAAATGAGCATCACAAAGAGTCAGGCACCACTGAAGCAACTGAAAAACAACAAATAGCCTTTCCCCAATAGATAAATGGTCAAAGAATAGGAACAAAAAATTCTCAGAAGAAGAACTGCCAAGTATTCGCAATCACATGAGAAAAGACTCCAAACCACTAATCAGTCAAACATAAAAAGCAAAACCCTGAGGTTTTGTCTCATATTCTGCAAAACTGACAATAATGACAAATAGCCCCAGTCAATGTTGGAGGATTTGTTGGAACATGGGCACATTAATACAATGTTGATGGAGTTATGAAATGGTAGGACACCATGAAGATCTGAGTTCAAATCCAGCCTCAGACACTTACTAGTTATGTGACCCTGGTTGGTAAGCCACTGAACCTCTGTTTGCCTCAGTTTCATGAACTGTGAAACAGATAAGAATCCCTACTATATAGGGTTGTTGTGAAGATGGTCAAAAGTGTATTTTCAGGAGAAAGTAAGTTTATTAATGTCTTTGCCTTTGAGCCTGATGCCTCATTGATAAGAACTGAGTGTCTTCTTCACTACCCCCTTCACCACACCTGAAAGGAAAACTGCCAGAGCTTTGACTAGTTCCCCAAACTCAGCCCTTTCTTATATCCTCTCCAACAAGGGAAGTACTAGGCCCTTAACAAATGCTAATCAATTAACAGCTAAAGAAGGTACCCTTTTCTTTGGCCTGGTCCAAATAACTCTGGTAAGGGTCTTTGAACACGTGAATGTGACCCTGATGCTGATTCACCTGTTTTCTTGAGTTGCCATATTTTCCTGAAAACACTGGACCAGAGGATGCAGGAGGCCAGGAACATTCCCAGCCCCTGCTCACAGTATTTGCTTCTTTCAACTCTCATTGCCCTCTCAGTGCCCTTGAGAGTCAAACCAGCTACCAAGAAATGAGTGTGCACCAGACATTTCAACTGTTTGTGCAAAGGAGCTAAAACACAAGACCCCTACAGAACAGAGAAGAATGAGTGAAGTGCTCTTCCCGGTATTTCATGGATCATGTGGGAAAATTTAACAACAAACAAACCAAAAAAAAAAAAAGGACACAGTTAAGGAAGCAATTCGGGAGGTTGGAGGGTTGTTAGTGCTTGTGATGGCAAAGTGCCATGAATCAATTCAAAGTACAGAAGGAGAGAACAGGGAGGTGTTGTCACTACTTTTTCAACTTCCTGCCTACTTTTTTAAATAAACAATCCATAGATAGGGGATTGCCAGTCTGAGAGACCATCCTCTTTGTGGAAATGGCCTCTTTCTTGATACTGGTAAAGTCTATAGACAGAGTGCACTCACCTGGGGTAGGGGTCTGCAGCTCCCAGGGGCCATTCCTTCTGTCTCCTGGCTCCCTGCTTAGGCCAGGCCTTGGTCTTCAGCACACACACCTGGGGAGGGAGAAGGATCCTATGAAAGAAGGCTAGCCTATAGGAATTTACAGGGGGTGAGGCCCTGACCTCAGGGCAGAGACTGCAACTTATAGGTAGGACTAGGCTTGGAAAAGATGGCCACACCCTCTCCAACTCTTTCTCTTCTGTCCCTTCCTTTCTCCCATTCTTCAGAGAACCAAGAGGCAGAAGGGGCTTGGGATCCCAGATAGGATGAGACCAGTCAGAGCCTCAATGGCTCCTGAATCAGGGTGCTCCCTCTGGTGGGGTATGGGACCTGGATCCCAAAAGAGCAACCCAGCTCCAGAACTTTCCCACCTATCTCCACCTAGATACTCAGTAATCCTTTCAATGGTCCTTCCATTGTGGCCCCTTCCTGGTCTGTTACCTCTGCAACATCCCAGGCTACTTCCCACCCTTTCATCCCATCTAGACCCCTTCTCTGTTACCTCTAGATTACCCCAAGATATTTACCCCCCTTAGATCCCATCCCAAATCTTCCCGCAATCTTTCACCCTAAAAGAAAAGTCGGTCTTGCCTCTACAAAATGCAGAGACTCTTAAAATCTTCCCTGCTTCTACTGGCCACACAATAAACCTTGTCTGTCTAAAAGAAGGCTTGAGGGGTCCAATTTTTTAAAGTAGATCCACACCCTTTACCCTTGCAATACAAGGGTAAAGCAAGCCTTTCACTTGTCTTTCACTCAGGCCAGGATTCTTGGGTCCCCGTAGATAAGGTTTCAATTTTGTGGAAAGGTTGACCCAATCCTAAATCGGGGGAGCGTGACCCCACACTCATGGGAAGTGATTGGCAGTCTGGAAAAGAGTTAGTAGTGAGAACCTTGTTCAGCAGTAAGGCTAGGGAAGGAGGATTGCTGCAGGTGGACCTGGCAGGCACTCACCCCATCGTCAGAGAACAAGGATGAGACCCGGTAACGGAAACAATCAGCAGACGCCCCAGGTCTGTGAGGGGCTGCCTCAGACCTACCTGGGAACTGACCCCACAGAGCTGGTGTGCAGAAGGCAGAGATCTCGGGTCCAAGTGAAGGCAGTGTGATTTCAGCTCTAACGGAAGGCGGAGAGATCTCAATTCCTAGGGAAGAAGGCAGAGATCTCAGTCGCAGGGAAGGCGGAAATAGTTCAGCTACATGGGAAGTAGACAGAGTAATCTCGCGACAAATGTTCCTGTTTTCAGACAGCCCACTCTGGGAGGGAACTCCCACCCTCTGCCCAGCCTCTGAGGCGCCCAGGCAGGGCTGTGTCTTCCAGTCACACCCAGGGCCAAGAGCTAGGGACCCTTTCTACCTCTCCTCCACAAGCCCTGCCCTCCAATCACCCGAAATGCCTCAGCCTCTGGAATGAGCCCTCTTCCGCCCTAGACTCCTCCCAGGCCCCCAAACTCCACCCCAGAGCTCCTATTCCACCTGAGCCCCCACCCACCAGACTGGTCCTTTCAGAGACCTCCTCCTCCTCCATGCCTCCATCATCTGATTTCTTATTGGAGGAAAGATTCGTGACTTTAGGAGGTGGAAGGGGGAGAGCAAGGAACAGGTAGCCTGCAGAAGTCCAGACAAACAAGTGATTCACAGCAAAACACAGTTTAGTTACATCATGGAGGCTGTTCACAAAATGCAGTCGGTTTTGTTAGCACATTTCTCCTAATTTCAATTAGAATTCTTAGGGATAACTTCTACAGAAAAAAACAGAGACTCCTGAGGTAGATGCTTGCAAGAAGCAGGTATGCTGCTAGAGGCAGACACACCTTACAGAAGCTAAACCAAGCAGTTCTATTCCTGTCCAGAAATGCCAGGTCCCTCCCTCTATATACAACATTGATCTAAAATTGTGTTAATTCTCGCCCCCAAGATAATATTCATAGACTTATTAAGCATGTGCATTTTGAGCAATTTGTAACTTTTCTCCCACTTTTCAGCACTTCTAACCACACTAACTTCAGCAGGTTTTTGTCTATCTCTTAAAAATTGTTCAAAATTCTTGAGTAAAACTGCCCCTTCTGCTCCTGTGACAACTTCTGAATTCTCTTGTTTAGTACCACTACCTCTACATTTGTGGAAACATAACTTCTTATACCTCACAGAATGTGGGCTCATTTAAAGTCAGATCCCAGGAGGATAACTGAGTTGTGTGACCAGCTCAGGGCAGATCTACCTTTAATGTAAAACACATGTAAAATCTGGTCAGCTCTACCGTTATTGTCTGCATATCAAGCAGTACCAATCTAAGGTCCAGGAGGAAGGGAGCATCTCAGATACTGAAGATGATGAGAGGTCCATTTCATTAGAAAAGGACATGGGCCCTTTCATCAAGTGCCATTGGGTCAGGGCTCTACCTCAATTTCTTTTAGGTTGGGCAATTTTTAATCCCTACATTTCACTCATTTTAATACTTATAGAGAATTAAGGGTGACTGTGGAGAAAGGAAGGTTCGTTCATCAAAAATGTCATATTTTATCAACCTGGAATAGAGCTAATGCATAGCATTAGGAAACCAGGAACTACACAAACACAATTACAAAACACTTTTCACAACAAATAAAGTCAGATCTAAGCAATTGGAAAAATATCAGTTGCTCATGGGTAGGCCGAGCTAATATAATAAAAATGACAATTCTACCTAAATTAATTTACTTTTTCAGCATCATACCAATCAAACTACCAAAAATATTTTCTAGAGCTAGAAAGAAAATAACAAAATTCACCTGAAAGAAGGAAAACTCCAGAATATTAAGGGAAGTAATGAAAAGAAATGCAAGGAAAGGTATTCTAGCTGTACCAGATCTTAAATTGTATTAGAAAGCAGCAATCATCAAAACTACTTGGTACTGGCTAAGAAATAGAATAGTAGATCAATGGAACAGATTAGACATGCAAGACAAAACAGTCAATGAGTATACTAATCTACTATTTGATAAATCCAAAGACTCCAGTTTCTGGGATAAGAAATCACTGTTTAACAAAAACTGCTGGGAAAACTGCAAAAATGTGTGGCAGCAACTGGGCATAGACCAACATCTTACACCCTATACCAAGATAAAGTTAAAATGGGTACAGGAGCTAGATATGAAGACTAATACCATAAGCAAACCAGAACACCAAGGAATAGTTTACCTTTCAGATCTATGGAGAAGGGAAGAATTTATGACTAACCAAGAGATAGAGAACATACAGAAATACAAAATGGATGATTTTGATTACATTACATTGAAAAGTTTTTGCAGAAACAAAGTCAAAGCAACCAATATTAGGAGGGAAGCAGAAAACTGGGAAAGGACTGTTAGAACCAGTGTCATTTCTAAAACATACAGAGAACTGAGTCAACTTGTTAAGAATAGGGGCAGCTAGGTGGCACAGTAGATTGAGCACCAGCCCTGGAATCAGGAGGACCTGAGTTCCAATGTGACCTCAGACCAGACACTTGACACTTAACTAGCTGTGTGACCCTAGGTAAGTCACTTAACACCAGTTGCCTTGCCAAACAAACAAATAAATATAACAAATTTATAAGAATACAAGTCATTCCCCGATTGATAAATGATCAAAGGATATGAACAGGCAATTCTCAGAGGAAGAAACTAAAGCTATATATATAGCCATATGAAAAATTGTTCTAAATCACTATTGGTTAGAGAAATGCAAATCAAAACTACTCTGAGGCACCACAACACACCTATCAGATCGGCTAACATGACAAAACAGGACAATGATAAATGTTGGAGAAGATGTGGGACAATTGGAACACTAATGCATTCTTGCTGCAGTTATGAAATGTTCCAACCATTCTAGAGAGCAATTGGGAACTATGCCCAAAGGGCTATACAATTGTGCATACCCTCTGACCCAGCAGGAGCACTTCTCGGTCTGTATCCCAAAGAGATCTTAAAAAAGAGAAAAGGACCCACATGGACAAAACTATTTATAGCAGCTCTTTTTGTGGTGGCAAAGAATTGGAAATTGAGGGGTGCTCATCAGTTGGGGAATGGCTAAACAAGTTGTGCTATATGAATGTAATGGAATACTATTGTGCTATAAGAAATGATGAGCAGGCAGACTTCAAAAAAACCTGGAAAGATTTACATGAACTGATGCAGAGTAAAATGAGCAGAACCAGAACATTGTATACAGTAACATGCACATTGTGTGATGACTGACTTTGATAGACTTGGCTCTTCACAACAATGCAAGAATCTGAGATAATTCCAAAAGACTCATGATGGAAATTGCTGTTCACATCCAGAGAAAGAACTATGGAGTCTGAATGCAGATGGAAGCACACTGTTTGGTCTCCTTTTCCTTCGTTGTTTTGTTTTATTGCTTCCTTCTCATGGTTCCTCCCATTAGTTCTAATGGTTCTTTACATCATGACTAATAGGAAAATATGCTTAGTATGAATGTACAAGTAGAGCCTATATCAGATTGCATGCCGTCTTTGGGCTTCCAAGAGGAGTAGTAGGTAGGGGAGAAAATTTAAAACTCAAAATCTTATGAAAGTGAATGTTGAAAACTAAAATTAAATACATTATTTACCAAAAATAAAAACAGAAAATCATATTATCCATTTATCAGTTTGAATTTCTAGACTGATTGCATTCAAATACCATGAGTCATTTTGATACACTGATCCATTTAATTCTTATCTTTACCATTTCTAAACATATTGCCTCAATGCCAAATTTTAAGTGTATTTTGCATGAAGGAGTGATCTCACTATAAAGGGTCAGACATCACAAGTATCCTAATTACAGAACAGATGTGATTTTAAATGAAACCATATATGAATTTAGTTTAGGACAAACTCAGTGTTATGAAAACTGGATTCACACTTACAAATGGTATATCACAGAAAATTTCAATTTTCCCTAGAGTCATTTGCTTTGAAGACCCCAAAACAAAGTGTCTACCCCTTCAGGTTAGTCTACAGCCAAAGTTTTATTGTGGCAGTCTTTGTACTCAGAAGGAGAAGGGTTTGAATCCTACAGTAGGAT